TGCTTGGGGGGGCGGGGGAAGCAGTGAGGGGGAGTGAGAGGCCCTGCATGGCGGACACCCCCCGAGCCTCTGCCCCCTCTCCCCAGGCCTCCCTCGCAATGAGACCAGCGTCCCCTGCTCCACTGTCCCTGTCGTCAGGGAAATTTCGCACAACGGCTGCACCAAGTGGGTCACCATGAACGACTGCTCCGGGTCCTGTGGGACCTTCGCCATGTGAGGCCCAGGCCGCGAGTGGCCCTGGTGGGGGCAGCGTAGGGGGGGCGGGCTGCATCTGTGCCAGCAGGCGGTGGCGCCTCACCCTGGCTGCTCCGCAGGTACTCGGCCGAGGCCCAGTCCCTGGACCACAGGTGCTCCTGTTGTAAGGAGCAGCGCACCAGCCAGCGGGAGGTGATGCTGCAGTGCCCGGGTGGGAGCTGGCTCCGCCACACCTACACCCACATCGACAGCTGTCTGTGCCAGGACACCATGTGCGAGCCGGCCCCCTGGCGCAGGGCCCGGCGCTCTGGCCCCAGGGACCCGGGTCTGGGGCGGGGGTGAGCAGGGAGTGCTCGGCCACCCAGGCCCTGCCTCCACCGTCCGTACACCCCCTCTATTGACCCTCTGAGCTTCCTCGCCTCCTAAGCTGACCTTCTCTCTGCGGATATTTATTTTCCAAGCCTTTGTTCAATTCTTTGCTTTTCCAGAATAAACTCAGGCAGACATGGTGCTGCTGTGTTTCAGTAGAGGCTGGGTGTCTGGGTGAGCCGCCGTGCACGGCCGAGGTCTGGCTGATTCCTGGGGAGCGAGTGGGCTCCGGCCACCAGGCTCTGCACACAGGATCGGGGGGACACAGTGCACAGGTGCCTGGCCCGGCTTTGGCAAACCCTGGAAGGCACTGTCCTGCCCTATCCTGCCCTTGGCGTGCACGAAGCCCTGGCTGGGCCACCAAGATGCAGGTGGCCCCCCGCTGCAGGAAGCCCTCTGAGCCCGAATTTGTGAAAAAGGACTCAGTCCCTTTCGCAGCCATTATGCTGCATGTGCACCTGTTTGTGTGCATGTGAGTGTGTGTTTGCATATGTGACCTGTGTGTGAATGTGCACACATTTGCATGTGTGTGTGAAATGCGCCACCCCTTGGGGAAAATCGAGAAGGTCCTGGTCCACAGATGGGGGCGGCATGCCGACGACGCCTGCTGCAAAAACTGACAAAAAGTGACCTTGTGGGTCCTTCCGGGCTGCTGTAAAGCAGCTGGCAGGGTCGTCAGACCCTCCAGACAGACTCGCAGGGCCTCCGGCTGGCTCTGGGTACCAGGCCAGGAAGCGGCCCTGTGTGCGTGTGTGTGTCCACATGTCCACATGCCCACGTGTGTCTGGGGAGCTGCTTTGTGTGCTGGCTGAGATACCAGAATGGGAATTCTAGGGAAGGGACCCTCTGGTCCTTTTACTGTAGAGCGAGGCTGGCAGCCATGGAGACCCACGAGTTTGGGAGGGGATCGGCTGATTCTTTCTGACCAGGTGGTGGGGGAGTGGGGGCCCTGGGTTCCTGGGCTGAGGACCCCCAGGTGTAGTAATCCAACCTGTGAGCATCCTTGGAGACCTAAGGGGAGGGCACTCTCCCCCCGGGGCCCAGGTACAGTCTGCTGTCACATTTACACCTGATACCTGTCTGCCACATTTACACCTGGCTGATGGGTGCTGGATGAAGCTGCCCAGGGCCCAGCCGGGCCTGCACAGGGGGGACCCAGGCCCCCTACCTCCCCTCCACCCACTGCCTCCTGCCAAGCTGGGCTGAGGCCACTGCCCTCCCCTCAGCCACCTGACTCCCTCCCCCACCTGACCCCCACCTGACGCCAGGTCAGGACACCCCAGCACAGCAGTACCACCCTGGATCCTGGGCTCCTGGTTACTTCAGGAGCTCACACTGCCCCTGGCCCAGCCCGTGGACTCCTCGGTGGTCGGTTGGCCTGGGCTGGCCTTGGAGTCACCAAGTCCCCTCCTAAAGCAGAAAGTTTGTCAAGGGGACAGAGGGGTTGCCTACCTCTGCTTCGTGGCCACGTGGGGTCCTGGGTGCCTCAGAATCAGCCCTGCCGGTAAGCGGTCACTGAGCCCACCCCAGGCTCTCAGCTGTTCCTCTGTCCCGCCTGGGCCATGAAGGCTATGAGCTCCGTTCGCTCGGTGTGTGGCCTGTTGCCTGGACCTGGACCTGAGCCCCAGGCCCGGCAGCTCCAGCCCCGGCTGCGGGACCTGTAGGACAGGACCGGGGGGAGGGCGCTGGGGCCGGCGCCGGGTCGGGGGGTGGTGTCAGGCTCTGGCCAACATCCTCCTTGGCCTCCCAGGTCCCCACTGCTGCCCCACCAGCCCTGGCCTCACAGCTGTGAAACGGGGGCTCGCGGGTGACCAGGGGTGGGCAAAGGTGGGTTGTGCCCACAGGCCCGCTGATTTAAGCAGAACAGCCCTGGCTTTTTTCTCTTGGACACGGGGTTTCCATGAGGTTTTGCTTGGAAAGAGGTTTTTGGCTTAAAAATAGTTTGACAGGGACTTCCCTGGTGGTCCAGTGGCTAAGACTCTGCGTTCCCAGTGCAGGGGGCCCGGGTCCCATCCCTGGTCAGGGAACTAGATCCCGCACACTGCAGCTGAGTCCAAATGTTGCAACTAAGACCCGGTGCAGCCAAAAAAATAAATAAATATTTAAAAAAATAGTTTGTCAAAATCATCGGCAGATGGAGGGAGGCCGTGGCCCTGTCCCCCAAGAGGAACCCGCGGGCGCCTCCCGCCCACCCTGCATGTCGAGCGCTCATGGACGAATGAACGAGGGAGTTCGTGAGCAGAGGAACCATCCGCACGCCAGCCTCCGCGCGTGACCCCAGGCCCACCAAGACCCAGGCGGGGGGTCGGGGGGAAGGTACTGATTCATTGTCTCTCTTCTGTCAGGCCAACCGTTCCTGCCCCACCCCACTGTTTAGATGTGGGCTCTGAGGGCTCTGCTGTCTGCCGGGACACCTGTACGATGGGTGGCAACCCGGCCCTCTGCTCAGACAGCAACCGCCTGGGCCCTGCCCCTCCCTCCGCGCTCCCAGCCCAGCCCCTCTCCCACTTCAGCCTTCCGATCCTGCGGAGCCCCCCGGGCCCTGGGGCTGCTCCACAGGTGTTCCCCACCTGCCCCAGACCTGGTTTCTAGCTGGGGAGGGGTCCCCATGGAGACCCCTGGCCGGGCCCACACCGCCGCTGGATGCAAAGCCCGGATGGCAGGTGGTTTCCTGCTCCCCAGTCTGGGGACCCTCCCCTGGTCTGGGGACCCTCCCCTGGTCTGGGTCTCTGGGCTGAGCTCCCCTTTCCACTGACGCCTCTGGGGACGATCTCTCCTATGACCAGAGGCAGACAGGCCTCCACCTGCCGCCACCGCCTCTGCCCCACCAGGCTCTCAGGCACAGCTGTGCCAGGGCAGAGGCGGTGGTTGTTCCCAACCACCTGGGTGGCCCGGGGGACACCTTCTGTAAATGGGGACTTGGCAGAACAGGTGCGTCCCTGTCCCGACAGCCTGCCCCCTCCGCCTGCACACGGCCCATCCAGGTCACAGAGGTGTCGGAGGGTCGGGGTGGGGGGCAGGGAGGGAGGAGGGCGGGCAGCCTGCAGCCCCCTCCTCCCTCCAGCTGCTCTCTCTTTTTCCTCACCTGGCTCACCACCCAGAGCTGTGGCCTCCTAGGGCTCCCTAGGGGTACGCACCTGGAGCCACGGCCATCTGCTTCTCCCACGGCCCATGGTGGGCTGTCCCCTGTCTGGGGTGCCCCCAGGGCACAGGAGACAAGGACCAGGTCAGCCAGGTGGGCGGCCCTGCCCCGGGGGCCTGGAAGCTGGGTTACAAGGTCTCCGCCACTGCCTTGGGTGCCGTGGGAACAGGGCCAGGCTTGGGACAAAGCAGCTGCCCCTCTCCATGCTGCCCCATCAGCCCTGGGTCGTCACAGCTCCTCCCCCCGCCCCCCAGCCTGCCCACCTCTGCCCCTGGCCAGGAGGCTACGTAAGAATAAAACACCTCACTGTTGGCTAAGTGCCTGTTTCTCCTGCTGCCCCCGTGGACCCTCACGCTACAAGGGCCCTGACACAGGGTTCACTCCAACCCCGTTTTCAGTGGGAAAACAGGCCTGGAGGGCAAGAGGCTCCCAAGGCCACCAAGTGGACCCCGAGGCAGAGTTGGCCAGGCTGTGGGCCCTTCTGCTGCATGCCGCCTTCCCCCCCCGCCCCACCCCAGCAGGTG